TCGCGTCCTTCTTGCCACGCCACGACAAGAAGCCCCTCCGCGCTGTTGTGCCCTGCCGCATCGTGGCATTGCCTCCCTCTGCACCGCGGTGCCCTCCTCTGCACCGTGGCGACCTGGATCCTATAAAAGCAGTGCGCAACTCTCATTTTGGGACATCGCGGGAGGACGGGGTGAAAACCATAGTCCGTAAAATCTCCCCCATTACTGCTCTCTCTCTCTCTCTCTCTCTCTCTCTCTCTCTCTCTCTTTCCTCCTCTTCTTTTTCTCCATTTTTCTTTTTCCATGTTTCTTCAAATCAACTTCATTTTTCACCTGGATTTTGTTCTTGCTCTTGGATTAAGCTTATAACTTGGATTCGAGAATGATTTCTACATATTAATTGTAAGTTGTTTCATTTTCATTTCATTGATGAAATTGATTGCTTGGGTTTATATGATTGATTGTTTTGAATTTATTTTGCGTACCTAAATCTGATTTCCAGGGATAGGGGATGATTGTTCTTGTTTAATTCGTATCTGTCGGGCTTGATTTGTTCGTTCTTGTGCGAGTTAATTTGATTAGGAATTGATGAATTCTTGTTTGATTGATTGATATAATCGAAGAGTGACACTTCGATCTTGCAATTTGAAACAATTGAATGTTAATTAGTCGAGTTAGAGTTTTGTTGATTCGTAATTGTTAGTTGATTAATTCTCTTCTAATTTAATTAGCGACTTTTAGAACCTAAAGGGGAGAAGTCGTAGAGCTAGGCTCGCATGAGGTAGATGATTTCGTAATTGAATAGTATATAGGTTTGGATTGAAATATGTGCTTGTCGATGACCCGCCCGTTGTTACGAAAAGTTATTGGGATTGGACAATAGACCTGTATTCAGAGGCGGCTCTTGAGGCAAGCAAAAGAGGCAGTTGCCTAATTAAGGTATTTGAAAGGCCTCTCATTTTTTTTATTGTATGTATTTGTTTGGGCTTGGCCCATTTACAAAATATTAAAACTAATTAAGGTTAAGAGATAACAATATAATTGTGGCTCCTCTTCTTACCTTCAAGTTTCATCCAAACGAAAATAAAATACATTAAGGAGCATATTAATTCTTGATTCAAATCACTTACATGGAGCGTATTATTTCTAACTTAGCATATTACATATAGAAATTTCAAGCTCTTGATTCAAATTTTCTCACCTGTCGCGCCGTGCAGCCTTGTTGTGTCGCGGTACCCACGCCTTCCACGCCGCGCTCCTTCATGGGACACCCGTAATGCCCGTTCAGAGAGCCTGCTCCCAGCGTCGCGCCGTGCCACTCCCCGCGCCGCGGTACCAGCCTACCAGCAAGTCTCGTCCTTACTGCCACGCCGCGACAAGAAGCCCCTCCGCGCTGTTGTGCCCTGCCGCGCCGTGGCACTGCCTCCCTCTGTACCGCGGTGCCCTCCTCTGCGTCGTGGCGACCTGGATCCTATAAAAGCAGTGCGCAACTCTCATTTTGGGACATCGCGTGAGGACGGGGTGAAAACCAGTCCGTAAAATCTCCCCCATTACTGCTCTCTCTTCCTCTCCTTCTTCTCCATTTTTCTTTTTCCATGTTTCTCCAAATCAACTTCATTTTTCACCTGGATTTTGTTCTTGCTCTTGGATTAAGCTTGTAACTTGGATTCGAGAATGATTTCTACATATTAATTGTAAGTTGTTTCATCTTCATTTCATTGATGAAATTGATTGCTTGGGTTTATATGATTGATTGTTTTGAATTTATTTTGCGTAGCTAAATCCGATTGCTAGGGATAGGGGATGATTGTTATTGTTTAATTCGTATATGTCGGGCTTGATTTGTTCGTTCTTGTGCGAGTTAATTTGATTAGGAATTGATGAATTCTTGTTTGATTTATTGATATAATCGAAGAGTGACACTTCGATCTTGCAATTGGAAACATTTGAATGTTAATTAGTCGAGTTAAAGTTTTGTTGATTCGTAATTTTTAGTTGATTAATTCTCTTCTAATTTAATTAGCGACTTTTAGAACCGATAGGGGAGAAGTCGTAGACCTAGGCTCGCATGAGGTAGATGATTTCGTAATTGAATAGTCTATAAGTTTGGATTGAAATACGTGCTTGTCTATGACCCGCCCCTTATTACGAAAAGTTATTGGGATTGGACAATAGACCTGTATTCATATGCGGCTCTTGAGGCAAGCAAAAGAGGCAGTTGCCTAGGGCCTCCAATTTTGAAAGGTCTCTCATATTTTTTTTTATTGTATGTATTTGTTTGGGCTTGACCCATTTACAAAATTATTAAAACTAATTAAGGTTAAGAGATAACAATATAATTGTGGCTCCTCTTCTTACCTTCAAGTTTCATCCAAACGAAAATAAAATACATTATGGAGCATATTAATTCTTGATTCAAATCACTTACATGGAGCGTATTATTTCTAACTTAGCATATTACATATAGAAATTTCAAGCTTTTGATTCAAATTCTTTTGTACTAATTATATTTTAAATACTTATTGTTCCTTTTGATTTATAACTTTTGTTAATTATCATTGGGATTAAACTTATTAATATGTTATTCTAAGATAAGATTTCTCATATAAGTTACGACGGGCAAACTCAAGTTCGATTCGAGATGCACGAAAAGGAAAAAAGAAAAACAAGAGATACTAACGAAGTCTCTCGCCTGGTGTATGGATAGTTACGTAAAGCCTAATACTTCTGTAGTCGAAGTTGATGTGTTTGATCCTATTAAAATTGTATAGGAGGTACCTGATGCACTCCTAGTTGAAATTGAACGATATTTAACACATCAAGTTCATTTAGATGATAATGATCGAGGGGTTGAAGTTTTTTAAGAAGAAAATCATAAGTTAGAGAATGTAAATGATATCAAGAATATGAATGATAATCTGTAAATTGTGAAAATTTGGATGACTTGTTGGATTCTGGATATTGGGAGGATAATATGCCTCAAAGTTTTTTTTTTTTTTAGTCAAAAAATGGTGATTAGAGTTACTAATGTCGTGTATTTTAGTAACGATAAAAGCAAAAGTTTCATAATAAACGCTACAAACGATGTTTGACGAATGCGGAAAACAAAATAGTTTTGATCGAAAATTGTTGCACAAAAGAGCACAAGAAAGTTGTAAGTTTTTGTTATTTTAGTTTACTTTTGTTTCTCATGTTCATTGTATTTTCCTATTTATTATTGACAATGTTTAATATTATTTGCTCAATTAAAAATTTAAAAATATACAAATACGATTACGGGCCACTTTGAAAAATTTGTCTGAGGCCTCCAAATTTCTGAGACGGCCCTGCCTGTATTGTATGCTCGAGTTTGTTGGTCTATGTTCAATCCCTTGTTATGAAGAGTTATTGGGAGCGAACCACTAGATGTCTAAGCGAGAGCGTCAATCTAGAATCTAACGATCAATGTCCCGGTTTTGTGAATAGAACTTGAATTAATTATGCCCAACTCTCTAGTTTCTTCATCTTCGTTTCGTTAATATTAGGGGTAGTTTATCGTTTTATTTGATTTCTTAGTTGATAAATCTTTCAAATCCATATTTGATTAGAATGTTTAGGATTTGTTTTCTTTTTGTGTGTGATCGATACCAAAGCTAAATTCCAAACTGCCTTCCTCGTGAGATCGACCAAGGGAACGAATCTTTCGATTTGGTACTCGGTAAAAATATCAATTTGTACACAACTGAAAATATGCTCAATTGTCTCTTCATCCTCACCACATCCTCTTCAATAATATCTACCTCCACCCTTTTTCTTTTGTACATCATATACATTGGTAGCACCATTGAAAAACACTTCCAAATAAAGTGTTTTTGCTTTCCTTAACTCTCATTTTTCAACATTTTGTCTAGCCATTCTTGTTGGATTTTATTAAGAACATCGACCGATGTGCATACCCGAATCCTAAAAATTTAACTTCCATCCCTTACTATGATTCGTATTTAATTTACACTTTTGTTTGATCTTCACACACTAGAGTTCTTGAATAGCAGCAAATGTTTGCATACATTGAATCATGAGTTGAATTTGAAAATTGGAATTTCGGTCATGTTGTTGCGGAACATAGATCATTCTATGGGTTTGTGCAATGGGAAACGATCAGTTGCGACGAAGCTCTCCAGTCATGTTCTGTAATGTAAGATACTCAAAAGGGACCAGACAAATGAGAATGTATTGGTTCTTAGAATAACTATAACTCCTTCTGATGTCATAATTCCTTTCAAGTTTCAGCGGCGACAGTTCCCAACTATGGTTACATATTCCATGCGTATAAATAAGAGTACTGACAATCATTATCTCATGTTGGTTTGTTTTTTAAAAAGCCGATATTCAGTCATGACCAATTATACATTGTTGTATCCCGTGTCACCAGTCGAAATGATTTAAAAATATTAGTTTGTGTTAACGATGACTTTCCAACACATAAAGAAAAAGGTTTCTAATAATATATAATACGATTTTCCCAAATTGTTGGTGAGCTGTGTATTGTTGTCATATGTATAATAACTTTTTCACATTTTAATACCCTGTGAATTTTAAAGATTCCACTTTAAATATGTTGTCCCATGCACCGGGTCGCGACTAGTATATTTGAATACATGAAAGTTTTAAGATATAAATTAATTTATTTGTTACCAAACATACCCTTAATATATTTTACACCGGATGACATAGACTAGTTTACTATATAGGGAGGTGCTACGGTCCTATTACGAATCATTCTGTCGGATTTTGTAACCGTTATATCAACAATCATAGACGTGTTTAAATGATGATATATTTCTGCTTTGTATATTCAAGAATCGCCGAGCCTACCTTGCCCTACCAAATCAGCATCCAGTCAACCTCGCTACCACCAAATCCCATTTCCTGGATTCAGCGAATCACTCTATATAATTTTATCCTTGCGGAGATCGTTTGAATTAAGTATTCAATTCCGTCACGTCGCCGCCGTACAAATCATTCTTATAATCAATGGTTTTATGTTGAATTTTGTGTTCGTTGCTCGCAGACTTGAATCAGAACTCATTCAAAGCTTCTCCATTTTCAGGTGCTTTATTGCATCCCATTTTATTTTATTTTTGTTCTGCAGATACATTGTGTAACGTGTAAACCAATCTTCGTTGTGTCTGAACGGAAAGTTTTAGGTCAAAGAGGGGCGTAAAGAACTGCGCAATGGCGCCTCCGCCAGTCTTGGCTCTAGCGCTGCCATCAGATACCGGTCGGGTTCTAAGTATTCAGTCGCACACTGTTCAGGTCTCTCTCAATTCGATACAACTTTTGTCACAGGTTTCTGTTTATATTTTCTTTGAATAAAGTATAGAAAAATTGATGGTTGAGTCACTTCAGTGACTAAGAAATGTATCTTGATGATTTTTATCTGATCATTTTGTTGCTGCTCTTTGCTATTACACATTCCGTTCGTGTTACTTGTAAAGCTTGTTGCTTTTATGTGCCGGTTTGATAGAAATGACTAACATTTGAATTGGCCCTAGTGAACTGATTTGGCTGATCTTTGTGGGTTTTGTTGTTGCAACTGCATTAACTTATTTCTGTTTTATGATGATATTGTCATTTTGTTCTTGGTAGAACTCCAGAACTGCTGTATATTGAGCTTTATAACGTGCTTCATCACTAAATTTGGTTTTATTTTAGGGATATGTGGGTAACAAATCGGCTGTGTTTCCTCTACAATTACTTGGCTATGATGTTGACCCTATCAATTCTGTACAGTTCTCAAACCACACAGGCAAGCTGCTTATATTCATGCTGCTTGAGGACTGAACACATGTTGCTTGTTCATCCATGAATTTGTGCTTTTTTAGGTTCAGTGATTCTGTACAAGCTCAGGCATACCGCCTGAGGGAAAGATTGGAATTACTTGGTCCAATAACAAGATCACTTTTGCAGGATATCCGACTTTCAAGGGCCAAGTTTTGAATGGAGACCAACTTTGGGATTTGATTGAGGGCCTTGAGGCAAATAACTTATTGTACTATACTCATCTACTTACAGGTAGAATAGCCTAGTAATTCTTCAAAGTCCAAGCATATTTGTTTTTGATCTTCATCAATTTGTCAATGGAAACAGTAACTTTTTTTAACTTGACAGTGTAATAGTGGTGGCATTGACATAGATATATTTACCTTTTCACTTTTACATTTTGATTCATGGTGGTACTAAAATACATAACTGTTTTGATAGCATTTGTGCTTCAATTTTTCTTTGAAATTGTAGGTTATATTGGTTCGGTCTCGTTTTTGAATACTGTTCTTAAAGTTGTAGAGAAGCTAAGGTCTATCAACCCAGAACTTACGTATGGTAAGAACACTGACACCAGCTGCTAATATGCTGTCATTCATGTAGTGGACTGGGCTCAGAATGTTATTCTGATTACTGTGTTTTAACAAACAAATGAGCTTTTTTTTTTTTTTTTTTTTTTTGGTAGAAATATGTACATGTCTAAATTTACTTACTGCCGCTCTTCTATGTTTCTCCATCCCAGTTAGGATGTTTGATCTTACCGTTGTAAACTATTGGAAGTGGGTTTTGAGCTATGGTGTAATTGGATATAGTTCATCTTTTAAAAATTTATTTGATTGGAAAAAGTGAGTTCGAGAGTGTAAAAAGTTATTTCGGTGGAAGAATGAAATAATTTTCAGATTGTGAATGGATATGAGGTAGAATGTAATGAATAATGTTGATGTGATAAAAAATTAGTAAAATAATGAATGTAAAATGGGTAGTGAAAATATGTGAGTTGATGAATAGTGAATTTCATTGAAAAATAGATAGTAATTATTTATTTTAATTATTCATTTGTATTGATAATATTGAGGAGAACAACGTTGGATCAGATGAACAGTTAATTCTTTAAAAAAACAAAGTGTATACAATCATAGTTCCACTCAAAAAAATTATCCAGTGAGAATAAACCAAAAAAGTAATATTCAATTGTTGCTCCCATTATATGACCTTGCACATTTATTCAGGATGTTCTTGAGCAAGTGATTTATCTGAATCATTTTTCTTTCCTTTTGGAGTTTTTCCTTGTCCATATAGTTCAGCCTCATAATATCGTATAATATGGACATGGCCTTTTTTATTTTGCCATGTATTGTTAATGAACTTTTTGTCCATTGCAATGGAGCTGGAAGAGTCATTGTTGACAATTCTCCTGACATAGTGCTAATAATGGACTAGATCAAAATGACTCAATTAAATTCTAGTGCTTCTTTTATTAGTGAAGTTTATAGAATAAAAATATATCAAACGACGCAATGCACCTTGGGTCGCTACGGAAACAACCTCCTTGTATAATTACAAGGGTAAGGTCTGCGTACAACTGACCCCCCAGACCCCAACCAGTTGAGAATATACTGGGTATGTTGATGTTGATATTGATGTATTGTTAATGAACTTTCCTTGACAGTTTGTGACCCAGTTTTAGGAGATGAAGGAAAACTCTATGTACCTCAGGAAATGGTATCGGTATATCGGGAGAAGGTAATTTGTGCTTTGAAATGAATTTCTCTTTGGTTAGGACAATCATTATTTTTCAATTTGGTCAAGGACTTGGCTGATGTCGATCCATATTAACTGCTGATTATAGTTCTCAGATGAAAAAAAAAATGCGTGAATTGGAAAGAACAGAAATATGAAAAATAATCCGGGTTTATAGTTCTGTGACTGTTGTTTTTTGATTTCTCTATTCTGGTAAAGCAATCATTATTATATGCATACCCAAATATATTTCTTTTGGTATCTTTTATGTACATGTTTGTCAAAGGTCACTACATGTTCCATATTCTAAAATTTGGTACAAAGACAACAGTTTGCCAGCCCAATCGACTGGCCATAGATGAAATACTAGGTTTGTTTTATTGGACCTTATATTGGGAGACATGATTTCATGTACTTTATAAAGCGAAATTCATTTCGCTTTTTGTGTCTATATAATGATTGTAAAGCAAATAATTTTCTGACCTACTCTGATTGTAAAATTGGGAAATGATCCCACTGAATAGGTTGTGCCTGTTGCATCTATGTTGACACCAAATCAGTTTGAAGCTGAATTGTTGACAGGTTACAGGTACTTGTCCATCTGACCGATTAACTCACAAAGTACAACTAGCATAATTTTATACATGGTTATTCATCTAACTCACTATTTAATGATGTTGAATGCTGAGAGTGTGTTTAGTGCGAGAAGGATTTAAGGTGGTTATGAATAAGAGAACCGTCTCTTCAATGAGCGTAGATTAATGTTTAGCACGGAAAATATGGAAAGCTATTGCCAAAGAAAACAGACGCCAATGGAGGAACTAAAGATATACGCAAACCACTGATTCTTTCTCCTTCTCACTAGAACATTAGGCAACTGAACTACTACTACTATTATTACTGTATGTGGGTTGCCTGATGTACGCGGAGCAATTAAATTTATTTTTTAAAATGTTTTTCGGTACGTTTAGTTACTTAGATTTATGACACTTGCTTGTACTAAATTTGTTTCAGGATTTTGTCTGAGAAAGATGGTAGGAAAGTTTGCAACATTCTTCATGCCTCTGGACCATCAAAGGTATGTACTCATTTTACATGTTAATTTTGAATAGGATCTTTAAATTGTTTATTGATGCATGCATGCATTACCTAAATTAGAATGAGTTATACGGCTTTTAATTTCTATTGTTATCAATATTATAACCATCACCGTCATCATCAACATCACCATTTTCAGGTTGTCATAACAAGCATAAATATAGATGGCAATCTTCTTGTAATCGGAAGCCATCAGAAAGATAAGGTACAGATAGGCACAACTTTTTAATTGCTATTACCGTTCTGATTGATGGTTAATGGATAAATATATCATTTGGCCATTTAAATGGCTTAACTCTTTATTGTGAGCTGGTCTGCTACTTCATCATAGTATTTTTTTAATTGTTTATTTTTCACCTTTTAAGTATTGTGACGACATGTTTGGTTACTATTTATTGCACGAGTTAATATTCTTATTTGTGAATATGATAGGGCGAACTTCCTGCACAGTTCCGGATTTCAATTCCCAAAATTCCTGCATATTTCACGGTATATTATTATTTTCTCTTCTACCCTGCAAGTGTATCTTGTGAATAATATTTTTTTGTGATTTTTTGATACACATTTCATGAGTTCACTTGCTTGCAATTTTATGTCTTTAATGTTGGGGGTCGTGTTTCCTTTGAACATAAACATGACTTAGTTGAAGGATTAGGGAGACACTTCTATCATAGAAGGAACATCAGAATTTCCGTCTCCAGCTCGGCAACCAATTAACTAATTTCATTATATTAAATAAATGTGGAAAATGAAATAATTTACATTATTTGTCTTCTTGAAACTTGTTGGCTCATCTCTTAGCCTTGCACTTTCTAATGTGGCATTTCCGCTCATCTTCCGTAGTTTGATTGATTCCTTCATTCATTAACATATCTGTTGATTATTTTATCAGAAAAACACATTTGTTGATTATATTATCTGATTGGAACTCTGACACGTAGCAGCATTCACTGTTTCTTATCTTTTAATTGGTGTTACTTGCTTTATTTTTTAAAATACTTGCCCAAAAGTTTAAAAGAACTGAAAACAAGAGAAAGGTTGTGTAGAGAGTGCTCCAGCTTCCAATTTTCTCATTCAACGACCAATAAATTTACAAATTTGCATAAGTTGCGTTTTGCTTGCAGGGGACAGGAGATCTAATGACTGCGCTTTTGCTTGGATGGAGCAATGTAATGCCTGAAAAAAAACTTAAATTCGTTCGTGAGTAAATCTTTTACATTTTATCACGTGCCAATATTCTTATCGCACTTTTTTTTTTTTTTTTGCAGAAATATCCCAACAACCTTGATAAAGCAGCGGAGCTTTCTGTGTCAAGCTTGCAGGTATATTATGTGGTTTTCTTTATCTTATTGCACTATTCATGATTTGTTTATAGTAAAAAATCATTGCGCTTTGTTTTCTACGAAAATGAGATGTTAGTCTACTAAAGTCATGCATGCAGGTGGTTCGGTTTTCTCCATTTCTTTTTTGCTTCCTCTTTTTTTTATACTAAATAAATTAACTTTGGGTTGTTGAAGGCACTCTTGGTGCGAACGGTGAATGATTACACAAGAGCAGGCCACGATTGCCAGTCGAGCAGCTTAGAGATTCGTTTGATCCAGAGTCAAGATGATATTAGAAACCCTGAGATCAAATACAAGGCTGAGTTATACGACTAAGAGGACAGTGGCATTGTTAGTGCCCCTTAGGCCAAATTGAGTCAGTACAACAGCAATACAAAGTTAAAATGTACCACAAAGAAGGAAACATAAATGGCCGTGTTGTGTCGTGAGTTTTCATCTTTGTTCCTTTCCTTATTTATTTTTTTTTTTTTCCCTATTTTAAGTGCAAGGAATGGAGGATTAGTAGATGAGCTAACTACGTCCACAGTGTTTGATGGAATGTTTTTATGTCAGGTTGAAAATTGTAGCAGGTGTTGCTGTATGTGAAATTTCGCCGCCATGTGAAACCCCAATAAAATATAAGCCGCATCAGCACTACAAGTCTATTATAACTATGTATAATTATTCGATAACTTCTTTTTCTTTGTATGTGTTTTTATTTTATTTTATTCTCTCTTTTTAGAGCGAAGAAGCCTCCTGCTCTGAAAAAAATGATAACATTCAAGAGGGATACACTTGGCCAAAATCCCGAATTTATGCTCTTGAATGAAGTGATGCAACTTAACAGTTCCACTTTGTTGGATAGAGTTTCTCTCTTTAGAGTTGCACAGTTTCATGAATTGGATTTTCAGATTTTGGTTTTTTCAATTTTCCTTTCTTCTTCTCATTTTATGGTTTAGGGGTTGGGGATTAGGTCTTTTTCCTTAGGGTTTTGGGTTCCTGGTCGTTTTTTGCCCGCTTTCTTAGTTGTTTGGGGATTTCTATTTTTTCCTACTTCATTTCTCTTGGTTCGTTTTGTTGTACAGGGCAGATTCTTTTTTCGGCCGGGTCCTCTCTTCGTGAGATTTTGAGAGGCTGATGGATTAAGATATCATCAATAAGCTGAATAGGTTTGAGTTGTCGGAAAAGGAGAAAACATGCATTACTTTGTTTGAAGCCGATATTGAGCTCGACATCCAGGATTGTGCTTTAAGTCTGATCGGCAAGGTGGTTGGGGAAAAAAGTGAATCTTGGGGGGTTGAAGACCACGATGGGGGTAGTATGTAGAACAAATCGTCCATTCTCGGTCAGGTTGTTGAGACGTAATTTATTTCAGTTTCTATTCCAAGCAGAAGAAGATTGGTGTAGAGTGCTTAACGGAAAGGCTTGGTCGTCCGATGGTCAGTACTTTTTGCTTAAGGAATGGAAGAAGGTGAGGAGGACTACAAGGAGAATGAGTTAAAAGTAGAATTGCGGGTTCAGATCCACGATTTACCACTTCATTGGATCTACGCGAAAGCAGGGTTGAAGGTGGGTCAGATTTTTGACAAGGTCATTGATGTATTAGTCACAAGGAATTCTAATGGTAATCTGATAAAGATTCTGGCTGAAGTTAGTCTGTTAGAGCCTCTCCCAGAGCTACTAACATCAAGATGGGGAAATAATAACACTAGGTAGAGTTTAGGTATGAGAATTTCTTACTTTTCGCTTCTACTGCGGTAGGATTGGACATAGTGATAGGCTATGTGAAAAAAAAAAAAAAATACCCAGAGGAATATGGTAAGAACAGGGCAGTTTGGGGATTGGTTGAGGGGCTCTTTTAGGGGGTTTAGCGAATCTACAGAGAGGAGATCTTCTAGCCCTAGTAGTGGTAAGTTGAACACCGAGTCTAGCAAGGATAAAGTAATAGGCGTAAGAGAAGAGTCCTTATATGGTGCGGGAGACAAGTGGGTCGAAAGATAGATTAGAACAGGATAGTGCTGAAATCTTGAGTGAAAAGGAAAATCTCCAATATGAGATATTAGTTAGGGGTTGTTGAGGGTGAGTGAGAGAAGGTTGTTTTCACTTCTGATCCTATGGATCTTGAGTCAATACAGAGTGCTCAAATCATTAGTAATTTAGTTAATCTGGAGTTTCATCAATTCAAGGGGAAGGCTTCTGGATCTAAAGCTCAGAAGTCCTACACTAGAATAATTAGAAGCAAGGTGTTAATTTTATGGATAAGGAAAAGGGAAATGGCTCTGGGTCTTTGGAAGATATATTGGGTATTTTAGCTTAAAAAAAAAAAAAAACAGATTGATGAAAATAATGAAAGAAAAATTAGATAGATTTTTTGTCTCCCCTGACTGGTTCCTTAAGTATCCCAATACCTTTGTTGTTCATGTTCCTCTAGTGGTGCAAGTAGAAAGAGATTATATTTTGATAGCATGTGGGTTAAGAGTGAGAGGTTTAGCAAGAGTTGAAAACTGATGTCTTTGGGCCTGAGCTTTATAAGTTTCAAAAGAGACTCAGAAATGTGAAATTAGGTCTGTTGGGTTAGGCTGCTAGGCAGTCCTTTAATTCAGCTAATGTGATAAAAGCATGTAATGCTAAGTTAGAAATCTTGGGACAATAAGAGAGGTAAAAGGATTGAGAGGAGTGGATGAACTGTAAGAAGGAAATGCACAAGGCTTATAGGGATGAAGAGGTTTTCTGGAAACGGAAATCAAGAAGGTGGTTGAAGAAGGGTTGAAGAAGGGCGATAGAAACAAAAGCTTTTTTCAAGCTTGTGTGAGGCAAAGAAGAGTGGGAAATTGTCTGGATAAGTTAGTTAAAATGAATGTGGATAAGTGTGGGGATAAGAAGGAAGTGTTAAAGGAAATGATGGGTTTTTTTGGTAACTTGTTCAAGTCAGATAGTAATGTGGCTAATGAGGAGATCTTGCAAGGCATTTCTAAATCCATAACCAAATACATGAATAAGAATCTTACTAGGAATGTGGATGAAGAGGAGACTAGAAAGGTCCTATTAGACATGGATCTCAGAAAAGCTTCAGGTATTGATGGCTTTACTCTTCTCTTTATTCAAATCTTCTTGGGATTTGATTATGGTTGATCTCTGCACTGGTGTTGATAATTTCTTTTAAGTGTGGCTGCATTCCTATTGCAACTAACCATACAAACATTACTCTCATTCCTAAGTTCAAGCATCCTAAGAAAATCATAGATTACTGACCTATCAGCTTGTGCACTATCACTTATAGAATGATTGCTAAGATTTTGGCTAACAGACTTAAATGTGTGCATAGTATTTGTATCTCTCAATATGCATTTGTTCCTGGCAGACAGATCATAGATTATGTTATAATTGCAAATGAGTGTATCCACTTCCTGATCAGTAGGAAAAAAAAAAGTAAAAAGTGTTTTATGACCCTTAAGTTAGATACAGAGAAGTCTTATGATAGAGTGGAGTGAGAAGTCTTATGATAGAGTGGAGTGAGAGTTTCTGATTAGAGTTTGTAGGCATATGGGCTTTAGTGAGATCTTCCTGAATTGGGTTTGGGCTTGCATTAGTTCCTCCACATTTTCTTTCAATATAAATGGCCAAACCCAAAGCAACCTTGTGCCTACTAGAGGGCTGAGACAAGAAGATCCAATTTCTTTCTACTTGTTCATCATTTTAACTGAAGTCTTGTCTAAGTCTCTGAAACAAGTTAGCATCAATCACTTTTTACAAGGTTTAACAATCAACATGCACCCTCCTTGCATTTCTCACTTAGTTTTTATGGATGATTCATTAATTTTTGGCCAAGCTGATATTTTAAATGCTTCTAGTTTGTTGAGAGTCATAAATTCCTACTATGCTGCTTCAGGCAAGTTGTAAATGTCTAAAAGTCTAGTATTTTCTTTTCTTCCAATACTCTTCAAGCTGCTAGGACTGAAAACTGCAATATCTTTAACATGATTGTTGAAGCTAAAAAGTCTAAATATCTGGGCCTTCCTTTGGGCATAAGTAAAAGAAAAAAAAAAAACATTATCTTTTGGGAGTGTATTTGCTAAGGTTACCAGCTGGAAAAATAGTTTTTTGAGTGAAGTTGGAAAGAAAATCTTTATCAAAATAGTGCTAAGTGTTATGTGATGTCTATGTTTAGGATTCCTGTGGGGGGTTTGTTAGAAGATCTGTAGAGTGATTGTAGGGTTTTTGGTGGGGTAATAATGAAGAGGGGAGAGGGGAGAGAGAGAGGGAGAGAGAG